TAATATCTATCTCCTGCACATATGATTAGTCTCAATGAGATTGGTCGCCGTATCCGAAATCGGTTGGGAGGACATTATAATAAATATTATTATCTATATATAGGAAATATAATGAATAAGACGACACGTTTGGCTCAGTTTGTAGTGACAGCTTGCTGTGCCAGCGGTCGCGGGTTCGAGTCCCGCTGGGGGCATTCATTTGTGTGATGACGAATGTTTGTACTCCAGTCATGAGTATTTATATTTATAATATGTATGTATTTAAAGTTATATATGTGTAGTGTATCAACTATCTAGTATCCATAACACAAGCCTCGTAGCTTATCATGGAACTAGATGGCGCTGTGTGTTAATGTCCCAACATATTTATATTTATTTATTATTATCTATATATAGGAAATATATAGATAATAATATATTTTATTATAATGTCCTATGTCTAAGTGCTAAAGCACGTATAGCAGATTATGAAAAATTGGTGTTGAACCTGGGAGACCAGAGCTTCATCACAATCTAAGCGGTCTTCCCATTTATGACAATGCACTGCTATACCACGGTAATGTATATGTAATATTACCGTGGCTATACATGCATCAAACGTAGTCGCTTTGTTATGTTTACTAGCAGAGCCCGCGGCTTCGCTCGTGTTAAAACTACTAACTAAAAACAAACAAATACAAACTACAAATGCTATTAGTAATAATGTATTGAAGTCTGCTCGATTTGTTGACATTTATAATTACTGCTCCGCTCCCTTGGATAGTAGCATGATATACAGCCTTCTCAATAAACGGACTATCTCATTCAAAAAGAATTTTTCAAATCGGATTAGAAGTTTCTGAGATTAGCGCGTTCAAACAAACAAACAAATAAACAAACAAACAAAGAAACAAACAAATAAACAAACAAACAAACAACAAACAAACAAACAAACAAACAAACAAACAAACAAACAAACAAACAAACAAACAAACAAACAAACAAACAAACAAACAAACAAACAAACAAACAAACAAACAAACAAACAAACAAACTCTGCCTCTATAATATCAGTATAGATACCTAATGATTGTTATGTATAGTATTTTTTGGGAGAAAGGATGTCCTTTAAGATATTTTTATCTATAAGTGACTATCTTGTTAACATCAAATTGTTTTGGAGATAAGCGTGTGATAAGTTGACAGAAAAATATTAAAACATTTTTTGATAGTATAATAATATGCTACAATATCTTACGCTACATTTACACGCTTGGCTTGTCTCGCAAACGTCCAGAAACACAAGCGTGTGAACGGGGTGTTTGGCTTGGCTTGCGTGAGCTTGTCACGATCTGGGCTAGTGTCGGTCTTTGAATACAGATCAAAAGAAGCTTGCGGCAAGCGCTTATGGCGTATTTACACGTTGGTGCGTGTTTAGTCCCTCTCGCTCACGAGCTCATAATGTCTATTTCAATAAGATTTTCCAAAAAATATTTAATGTACAGATTCAGCTTAGTTACAATTTTATTATATTATGTATAGTTAAAAATACGTCAAGCTAAACGCAATAGTCGACACAACTTTAACGTCCACCGTTGCCTGTCCGGAACACGCTTGCGAGTGCAAGCGTGTAATTGTCATCCAAGCGTTTGTAGACCTTTGCCAAGCCTCGGCAAGCGTGTAAATGTGACATTACATAATACGATCATATCTATACATATAAGAAAACTGTAAAAGTCGAATGTCTGTACATAGAAAAAAAATGCTAAAGATGGAGTCAGGGGGATGTAAGAAGAGAAATAGAACAAATCCAGATTTTTTTGATTTTTTTGTTTCTGTCTGTTTGTTTGTCCGTTTGTACGGGCTACTCTCCAAAACTGTTGGACCGATTTAAATGAAATTTTTATGGTGGTACTTTATTTACATTTTAGATACTTTTCATCTCGGAAAATCAAAGAGTTCGCGTGGGGTAGTAAAAAATTATAGTAACTAATACAGCTTAATACACAAAAACTACTGATTGGATTCTAATGAAACTTTACTATAATATAGTTATTAACATCAGAATAACAAATAGGCTACTTTTTATCCCAGAAAAATGTATGGTTCCCGTGGGATAGATTTGTTTTTGTTTGTCTAGAGGCCAACTCGAGCGAAGGGAGGGTAGCGGGTCACCCTAGTTAAGTCAATATTTTAAATCACGTGAAAACACTTCAATTTTTTTTCCCTAAAATAGAATCTCGTACTATTACTAATCAGATTATCATATAAATATAAGAAATACATACATATATAACATATTATGTGGGTTAAAACGTAACTAATATTTTTTTTATGATTGAGACTCATCTTATGGCAGAGCCAAATTGGAGAATTCACAAATACTGGTCTTAATATTTAAAATTTAAGTTACATCTATACAGATAAATAAAATTGAAGCGTCTGTTTTTAATATTAAAAAACAGGTTTTTACTTAATGCATATGGAATTATGTACGGTATTTATAAAGAACACAATTTTGTCTATCGTCTGTCTGTTTGTTCCGGCTGATCTCCGAAACGGCTGGGCCGATTTTGACAGGAATTTCACTGGCAGGTTTCACTGGCAGTTGATGTTATATGGAATAACTTAGGCTACTTTTATTTCAGTAAAAGAATTAGGGTTCCGCTCAAAAAAATTAAAATGGAGTGGAAAAGAGGGTGAGTCGCTAGTACAATATTTATATTTATAAAATTTACTTTTAACTCGGTTGGATGTCTTAATGGTGGGTATTAATCACGACTGTGATGAAAAATGATGAAATGATCAATTGATGGTTGATGAAAAGGTAAATTCATCACCATGATGATGATGAATTAAATTTTGTTCACTATTGACTCTTTCTTTTACTCTCACTTCTAAGTCACTGATATAATATAAAACAAAATATAAATATATCTTAAAAAGTCGCGTTAAAATGTAACTCAATCTCAAAAAACGTAACTTATTGTTGCTTAAGCACTTTGAACTTACACACATCATACAAAGTCATCAACCGACTTCCTCAAAAAGGACGAGGTTCTCAATTCGACTGTATTTTTTTTTTTAAGTTTGTTTCCTCAGAACTCCGTCATTTATAAACAGATTTGGACAATTTTTGTTTTGTTTGAAAGTGTATACTTCCAGATTGGTCCCATTTAAATTTCAAAAAAAATACCACCCCTAAGGGTGGAAAAATAGTTAATAATGAATTTAACCTACTTCTAATTGTCATATTGACTTGAAACTTTGCAAGTGTTTCTATTTCCGTTGATAGTACAGTGGTTCGGTGTTGTTGACCTGATCTGATGCCAAGGCCAGAAGGTGGATAGGTGGAACTCTTCAACGGCTAATAGTAGATACTTTTAGTTTGGGCTTATTTCGTTTGATTGGACAAGCCTAACACGTTAGAATTCTCACTTTGCTACTACTGTCTAGACTAAAAAGGGAAAAATAAAAACCTTTAAACAAAAAAATAAAAACCAACTTCAAACAAAAGCACTATAGCCAGCCGATACAAAGAAAAGCACACCGACTTCGAAAATATTTGATTAGGTATGTATAGTAAATGAAAACTACCAATCAGTTATTTCTTACTTTTTAGTGCTTTTGTTTGAAGTCGGTTTTTATCATTTTGTTAAAAAGTTTTTTTTTTACAAATCGTATGCGTTATGTCACGTTTTTAAAGTCTCAGCAGTCAGGCAGAATAAAAGCTACATGGAGTAGAATTGCTGATATATTTATTTTATGTTCTAAGAAAATTTCTAATTTAATAATATTATTATTTGTAAAAAATTCTATGATCGTTATAAATGTGCCTTAAACTTATTATGATGGCTTCACCATTAAATATTATAAAATTGTTTTAATAGCAAAATGACGCTCAATAGTTTATTTATTCCTTCCAATATAAATATTAAGTAATGCATTATTTATTATTCGGTTAATATATTTAAATAAATAAAATAAGAACTCAATAAAAAAATATAAAAATTAATAGTTTCATGGGTATAAGATCACTAAAAATATAGAAGGAAATTATAATTTACTGTTCTTATACCAACCAAATAAGCGGCCATTAAAATTTGTCTTATCTCAACCGGTAAAAAAAAAACAAATTAAATAAAAATCAAATATATCTCGATATATTAAGTAATTATTTAAAACTTAAAAACTAAAACTACTAAGACATATTAATTCATATTTAAGTTAATCGAAAATACGATACTTCATCCTTTTTCAAAGTTCTAAATGAAATATTTTTCAATTCGTTTTTTTTTTTGTAAAATGCTTTGGCATTCCAGTTGAGCACAGATTCTTCTTTATTAATAAACATCATAATATACTTAATCATAAGAAATTAGAGGAATAAGATGTCAAAAGTTCAAAAAATATAAAACCAACAAAAAACATCAACAACCACTATAAACTAGCTTAGTCTATATATAATAAAATTGTAACTAAGTCGAATCTGTACATTAATTTTTTTTGGGAAAATCTTATTGAAATAGATATTATTATCGATACAGAGTCCGATTAGTATTCAGACAGACAAACAAAAATTCTAAAAACTATATTCCGATTAGTATAATATAGTTTTTAGAATTTTTGTTTGTCTGTCTGTCTGTTACCGCATCACGAGAAAACCACTGCACAGATTTTGATGAAATTTGGTACGATGATAGCTGGTTATCCGGGTCAACATATAGAATAGTTTTTACCGCGGTAAAATATTTCATTTCTGAGAAAAAATAAAAAACTGCATTGTAAGAGTATAATAATATGTAAAACCTAAGAACTTGGTTTTTGGTCATCTGAACGCGGGCGAAGCCGCGGGTAATGCTAGTATATTATAACTATTTAGTTGTAATCCTCTCTATGCCATCGCTAGTCGTGTGATATGTACCGCTTAGACTGTACACAGCTTATTCTAAAGTGGTCCCCGCGTCAGTGCGGATTGGTGACATGAGATAATAGCATCATAATATTTGCAAACTATCGAGATGGGTCTTCCGAATATTGAAAATATAAGACCGAGTAAGTGTAGATTTTATTTGGTGACTTTTTTTTTAATTCTTCTAACATTTATTAAGGATGTGCATGCATTGCATCAAAGTTTAGTATAATTTAATATGTATATTAAATATGGTATGTCACAGGGCATCGTTTTATGTCCATTGTTTTGGATAAAACACATATAAAATAAAATTGCTGTATTTATATTATGTATATCAACTGATGTTAAAAATAATATAACCATAAATATCTAAAAAATGATGTTTTGTATTAGGTACAAACCTAATTTATTTTATTCTCAAAGATTAAAAATAATTTAATAAATGAATGGAAACAATGTAAATAACATTGAATTCTTCATTATTTTTAAATAATATTATATCATAATATCATTAATTAGAAGTATACATATACTTTATAGTAATCTATAAATTGGGAATAATAAAAAAAACATCCAAATCTGGCAAATATAATTTTTAACATTTAGATACCACAGAAGTTAATTAATTGCACGATAAATTTTCTAATCTTTTAATTATATTATGAATCTTAGAAATTGATCTTACCTACTTCATAAACATGATCTTACTTCATAAACATAATAACATATATACAATATAATAATATATTATTATTCAATTGGATTAACTTAATTTTTTATTTAATAGCATTAAATAAAATTAGTGTTAAATAAAAAAAAATACGCAATATACTTACAAATCATAGTAAAAAAAATCATATGCTATTTTAACCACTAAATAACCTAATTTTAATAATTTTTCCTTAATTTAAACATCAAACGAATATTACAAAAATGAAGACAAATTAAATGAAACAAAAGCAAAATCTTAACACCTCCAGGTAAATTTCTAAGAAATTAATTAAATTTCTAAGAAATCTATTGTCAACTGTAACGCCGGCGTGTCCGCGCTCGTGGAGGGATTAAAACGACCTATAAGTATTGATGCCAACTTAATTTATTATACATCATAGCCAGCCTGCTTAAAACATAAATGGTACAGTGTTTTAGTTAAATCATTACTTTGAAAATTATTATTCTACAACTGCCTACTTTGATCAAATAAATATCCTGTAAAAAGTACGGTTAGCTATGAATAGAAGAATATCTATACATATAATAAAATTGTGACCAAGCCGAATCTGTACATTAAATATTTTTTGGAAAATCTTATTGAAATAAACATTATTATCGATACAGAGGCCGAATCTATAGTTTTTAGAATTTTTGTCTGTCTGTCTGTTACCGCATCACAGAAAAACCACTGAAGGGATTTTGGTGAAATTTGTTATAGTGATAGCTGGTTATCCCGGTCAACATATAGGATACTTTTTACCGCGGGAAAATATCTCATTTCTGAGAAAAAATACAAAAACTGCAATGTAAGAGTATACTAATGTGTAAAACCTAAAAATTAAATGCTAGTATGTTATATATTCATAGCCTCCACGCAGCAGTAGCTAATTAAACAAAATAGTGTTAAATAAACTAACTGAATGACGTCTAGTTAATAAAAACAATTCAAAATATTATATTTATTACGCAAAATAGTAGGTGCATTGTAACAGTCTTTCAAAATGTAGTAACTGGCAGAAACTGCGGCTTCATTCGCGCTAGAACTACAAAAAAAGTCTTTAGCTTTATGATATCTATACTAATATTATTAAGAGGAAAGATTTTCTTGTTTGTTTGCTTATACCGAATAAGCTCCGAAACAATTGAACCGATTTAGATGAAATTTGGTAAGAAGATACTGAGATTAGATTTTGAATGAGACCCTGGGAAAGACATATAATAGTGTTTATCTCGGAAATCATCCCTAAAGGGGTGAAAATGGGGATGAAAGTTAATACAGGAAAGCACCTTTAATAACAAAATAAAAAATTATACATGTTTTTGGACGCCAAAAGCGTTCGCTTTTGACCTCAAAGACCTACACAAGTATGATCTAAATCTCAAAAGTTCTAAGAAGACGCTGATATGCCGTCAGATCCTTAACAATAAATTTTATTTTATTGCAAGTTATATGAATGAGAAACTTTCCGTTCACATAATTTCGTTGCGTAGTACATAAATAATATTATTAAATATTATATATTATTATTACGTATTCGTCAATTCGTCTTATCAAAAGGTCGGACGCTAACGTTTAATTTATACTAATTGGTCGCTTTATCATTTTTATCAACAACCATAATAAATTCAACATAATATTATTTTTGATAATATTTTTTTTTTTTAAATAAATATAAATATGTTGGGACATTAACACACAGCACCATCTAGTTCCATGGTAAGCTTAAGGCTTGTGTTATGGATACCAGATAGTTGATACACTACACATATATAACTTTTAAATACACACATATTACAAATATAAACTCATGACTGATGAGTACTAACATTCAAGCTTATCACACAAATGAATGCCCCCAGCGGGACTCGAACTTGCAACCGCTGGCACAGCAAGTATGGTCACTACAAACTGAGCCAAACGTGTCGTCAAATTAAATTTTGAACATTCATCTTGTTAAGAAAGCTGCTTAGTATGCTTAGCTTAAACTAAAAATGCGCTTGTGTGAAATTTGTTCCTCCTTCAAGCTCAAAACTGCTGTCCATACTCTTAGACACTTAAGTCGATAATCTATACATATAATAAAATTCTAACTGAGCCGAATCTGTACATGAAATATTTTTTGGAAAAACTTGTTGAAGTAGACATTATTATCGATACAGAGGCCGAATCTATAGTTTTTAGAATTTTTGTCTGTCAGTTTGTCTGTCTATTACCGCATCACGGAAAAACCACTATACGGATTTTGATGCAATTTCGTATGATGATAGCTGATAATCCATATCAACCTATAGGATACTTTTTACCGCGTGGAAATGTCTCATTTCTGAGAAAAAATACAAAAACTGCAATGTAAGAGTATACTAATATGTAAAACCTAAGAATATGGTTTTTGGTCATCTGAACGCGGACGGAGCTGCGGGCAATGCTAGTAATTAATAAATTAAGTAAATTGTATGTATGTAAAGTATACATTATGTAATAACATATTTATAGGGAAGAGGAAACTGTGAACTGATTAGTTGATATCAATCATTTTTACTAATAACTTGCACTGATTTGATCCATGGTTCAACATGGCAATAATTATCTGTAAGCAATGATTACAATATTGTGATGCAATATCGATATATGTATATTTTCATTAATTCTAAGATATTTTATTATTATTTTATTCACAATTTAGTTAAATAATAAGTATATACTTAGTAAATTTTGTATGTATGCAATTAAAAATAATTTGTACATATTATTAAATGGAGTCCTGATTTTTGCTAAATAATTGGGCTAGGGAAAAGTCTTGTTGTACTTTTCTCTAGTTTGATTGTTTAAGACGCAATCAATAACGTTATCAGTAATGTGTATAGTTATTATTCATAAATAAAATATTAATAATACCTACTAATAATAAAATATAAGCAACCCGCACTTGGCCAGCGTGGTGGACTATGGTCTGATCCCCCTCGTATTGGAGGGAGGCCTACACCCAGCAATGGGAACTAAGAGCACATACAGATTGTTAAATAAAATTAGCGTGAAGTGATCAATTTGTGTAACTAGTTATAAATCATTGAAACTAAACTTTTCTCTGAGATTTTTGAATATATTATTTATGTGTTTATTATTAAATAAGGAAAAATAAAAATAATATTTACAATAATAAATATTACGTCTTACAGAAGGCTTAGGAGTGAGACATGCGCAGACATTCTTGCTGTTTCTGGCCATGTTCTTGGCGTACTGCATGCGAGTGAACATGAGTATGGCCATTGTGGATATGACCAATAAAGAAAATGACTTAGTAAGTTTTTAGCATGCTGTTAAGCTTAAACAAAAAATAGTTGGATGAGTTTCGTATCTTCCAAATGTAAGGACAGATTTCTTAATGTACATATATTATGTATACCTACTATTTTCTTAAAACAACAATTTACTATAGAGAGGGAGAGAGAGAGAGAGATTTAATTGCTATGGAGTTAGGTGATTCAATCCATAATATTCAGCAAAAATAAAAATTCCATTTCTGGGTCTACTTTACACGGTAAATCATTATTAATTTACAAAAAAAATTGAGGTCATAAAGTGGCATATTAAAAAAAAGAGCTCTCAAGTCATCCAAATTTATTTTTTATGTAATAAAAAAAATATTACAAAAATATTATCCCTTATTTGCAAAATTATTTTAACTATAATTTCGAAGAAAATATTTGATACTAGGAGGTCTTAATGGCTATTCAATAGGTCTTTTTTACTGTTACATTTTATACTTTTCGATTAAGTTTGATGCTTAAATGAAATATTTATTTGATATTTTGCAGTATTTCGACTGGAGCTATAGTGTACAAACTATGATACTGTCATCCTTCTTTTGGGGATACGTAATCCTGCAAATCCCCGGAGGCGAACTCGCAAAGCGGTTTGGTGGAAAAATTTTAATTACAATATCTGTGTCAGTCAATTCGTTGCTATCTTTGGCGATGCCTTTTGGTGCGAAAATTGTAAGTACACATCAATCATCATCATCAAATTTTAATTATACATATATATACGCAATAATCTATGAAGTAAGTGAATTTGGGATATTTATTTTTCATTTTGTAATGTGGTTATCAAATATCTTAAACCTTAAGAACTACGCGGACAAAAGCTGAAATATTATTCACTAGTTGAAGAGTTGAAGAGTTGAGTAGATATCTAACAATGTTTATTAATCTATCATAAGTGCATATCAAAAATATGACACTTTTTTATTTTTTGTTGGATTTTTCTTCATGCCATTGCAGAGAGAAAACAACGTGATATTACTTTCTACTATTATATTTCTAAATAGTTTGTGGGGTCGGGAGTAGTATAGATCTTTTTTTTTTTAGAATTTATTACATAAAATCACCCTTTATTTCAGGGTGGATGGCAATTTGTTATTACGTGCAGAGTGTTACAAGGGTTGACGCAAGCATTCGTATTCCCCAGCATGCACCACCTCGTGAGCCAGTGGATACCTTTGGAAGAGAAAGGCACACTAAGTACTATTATATATGCTGGTAAGTGACTTTTGTATCGCACAAACAATAAACAGTGGTAGCGTGTTCAGTTTCCGTATGTTGGATTTATATATCTATAAGAAATTCTTAGTCCATAGTTGGGAAGTGGGTGGTGTCGAATTGTGCCACCTGAGTTTGTATATGAAAGGAATGGAGGGTGCACTTGTATTTGTGCACTTACTTCTTCTTAATCGTTTCAGTCTTGACTGGTCGTGGTCATCAATTTGTTGTTCTTGATATTCGCTTGACAACAGACCTCCACCTTTCTCAAGTGGTTCCTTTCCCGCATATTCATGCTGATGGACATCTATACCGCTCTGATTTCAATCACCTGGTGGGCGATCTACTATGCGCCCTAGTGCCCCCTACTCTTCCCTACACTATCTTTGCATCTCAATACTCGCGCGTACTATCTTGGACACAATTATCTATACTATAATAAAACTGTAGAGGTCGAATGTCTGTACATAGAAAAAAAATGCTAAAAACCGAGTCTGGGGATGTAAGAAGACAAATAGAACAAATCCGGATTTTTTTCAACTTTTTTGTTTCTCTGTCTGTCTGTTTGTACGGGCTAATCTCCGAATCTATTGGACCTATTTAAATGAAATTTTGCATGGTGGTACCTTACATCCCCGGGCAACATTTTAGATACTTTTTGTCCCGGAAAATTAAACAGTTCCCGTGGGATAGTTAAAAAACTATAATGACTTATACAGCTTAGTACACAACAACTTATGCACCTAATTAAGTAAAATTTAACATTCTGATACCTTATATTGCGGTTAAACAACAGGTTACTTTTTATCCCGGAAAAATGATTGGTTCCCTTGGGAACTAATAGATCTCTATTAGTGTTTTCCTAGAGGCCAACCCGAGCGAAGCGAGGGTGAGTCGCTAGTATCTCATAATACTGGAACGTCTGAGTGAAATTGGCTGCTGTCTCCAAAATCGTCAGAACATTATCATCATAACGTTAAATCAATATTATTATCGGTCAAATTAAATATTTCAAAGGTAGATTAAATTTTCCAACTCGTTAAAATGAAAGTTAGCGTTGCAAAATTGTGTCAGCAAATATTAACGCTAACTTAAAAACGAACTGTATCGAAACAAGATAACGTAAGCACTTCAGGCAACATGGTCCAGTAAAAGTTAAGTTCTAAAGAAAACTAATTGAGTACTACACTCGATATTCGATAGCGAGTGCGTACAGTTATTACCGAAATCTTAGACTTATAAAATCTTAAGATGTTTAATAAAATGAAAGAATAAAATAATGTATTGATTGCATTTTTGATTTTTAAATCGGTTATTCTTAAATTTGCTTCTAGACAGTGACATTTTAACGTCAAATGAGAAATAGTGTAAACGAAGGCTAGTATAGTAAAGCATACTACTGTAGTATACGTAAACAATAGTAATGATTCGTATAGTTTTGATAGTGTTGTCTTAATCGTTAACTGAACTTACAGTTTGTAGTTAGTGGCTGAGGATAACTTCCACAGCAATCTAGTACTTATTATATAATTATTAAGTATTGAATGTCTATGGAAATTGAGTTCTACACTGTTTTTTGTATAAAAGTTCACACTCTGTGTATGTCTGATGTCTGTATCAGAACTTACTTCTTTATTGCCTCTAAATATCTCTTGAAGTATTTTTATTTAAAAATATTTAGTATACACACTTATTCGGCAGTCAAATTGTCAGATAGAAACATGATCATTTTATTGATATAAGTGCTAACGACTTACCATCCCTTCGCTCGGGTGCATCCTTAGGTATGTTTATAAGTAGATATAAATAGTTATTAGCCAGCGTTAACCATTTAATTTTTTTTTTAACTAACCTGACTTTGTTTATATATATATATATATATGTATATATATATATATATATATATATATATATATATATATATATATATATATATATATATTCAAAAATTTGCAATAAAAAAAATAGGAAAAGTTCTAAGAAAAATTGACAAATTCAAGAAATGAAATTAAAACAGAACTTTCTCTTCTTTAAACGGTTTTAGTATGAACTTAAAGATAAAACATATAGTTACAAAACTTTAATCAAATTTTGACAGGATTGGTTCTGTCAAACATCAAACAGTTAAGAATATCTACCGCTTACGTTTATTTACAAAAAAAGGGGTGTTATTTACTTTGTGTAACAATGAAAGTATATGTGATTTATATAGAAATAATTCCTACAGATACATGCCTACATCAGCCGCTTAGCCAGCGTAAAGTCGAACATACATACACATAATACGTCAAACACATAACCTTCATTTTAGCATCATCGCAGTCATGCCTTTTTGTTACTTAATTTATTATTTATTTGGTACCTTTTAATGAATGTTTCAAAATTCCCAGGTGGTCAACTCGGTATAGCTGTTCAGCTTATAGCATCTGGTTTCCTGGCGACCGCGTGGGGCTGGCAGGCGATCTTCTACTTTAACGGCATTCTTGGGGCTATTTGGACAGTAGCGTATCTCATACTGGGATCCACTTCACCTGAATCATCCAAATTAATATCTGAAGAAGAACTTCGGTATATTCAGAGGTCATTGGGCAGAGTTGGTGAACAAAAGGTATTTCTTTTCTTTTAAGGTAGAAAAAGTAACACTTAGGCTCATGTGCTACCAGATATATTACTCATGTCAAAAAGATAACTTAGAGTAATTTTATTTGGTGATATTTGACAATCTTAAGATATTATTAGAAATCTGTGATATTCTGAGATATATTAGTGTAGATATATGATAGATTCTGAGATATTCTGCAATAATTTTAATCGAATTCCTACTTATTACGGTTCAAATGTGTCAGCTCTCTAAAAGCAGGAAATCCCCGTGGATACGGAACCTTTTCTTTTTAATGTTGGGAAATTCATTTACGCATACCGCCTGTATTCAACGAAACTTACAAAAACACTACAAAAATTATTTCCATATGCAAAACTCATATATTTTAAAGAATATCATGTATTATAATTGTTATTTTCAGAAATACCCAACTCCGTTCAAAAAGATAGCAACGTGTCTGCCTTTCTGGGCGGCGGTGGTAGCGCACTGCGGGCAGAACTGGGGCTTCTTTACACTCATGACGGAAATGCCTACGTACATGGCGAAAGTATTAGATGTGCAACTAACTAAAGTAAGTTGATCTAAAAATCTCACTAAGATTGTAAATGCAAAAGTGTGTGAGTGAATGTGTTCACATGTTTGTTGTTTTACGCATAAGCTACGGTTGTATGAAAAGATTTTGATGAAACTAGCACTACATACATATTATATAGATCATGCCTTAGAACGACATATATAGGTAGGATTTTTATGATCATTGAACACTTATTTCAAAAGAAGAGAAACTGCGGGCATATATTATTATATTCTTTGTCGACGATGTTCAACATGACTTGACATGATAATGAAATATGTCAAATTAAATGTATTTATTAATTATTTGTATGAGAGACACATAAATATACAAAATTAATGAATATTTTTTTTTGTTCTTCAATATACGTAATATATTAAATACACACAGTACGAATTTCTCAAACGTTAAAACATAAGTTACTAGCGACTCACCCCCGCTTCGCTCGGGTTTCCTCCCAAGGTTGCTTCCACGTTCAAACTTTTATACCCATTTTCACCCCTTGAATGGTTTCCAGGATAAAAACTTAGTAGTAGTAGTTAAATTCAGTAGTTTCGGAGCTTATTTAGCACAAACAAATAAAAAAACGAAAAAATCTTCCCTCTTTATATTATTAGTATAGATTAATAGAAACTAAAAATTAGCCTCAATTCAACTCCTTGAGATGACATTTGAATGGATTTTTGTAATTTTGTTGTTCTCAGAATGGTGTGTTATCATCACTGCCATATCTAGCAATGTATATTCTGAGCTTCCCGATGGGCACTATGACCGACCTTATAATACGACGAGGCTGGCTCAGTGTTACCAACACAAGAAAACTATTTAACACTATTGGTATGTATCCTTCTTATCTCATAAATTTTTAGCAATTTCAAAAAGTGGAGGCACTCAATTCGGACGTATTGATTTTCATAATTTTGTACTGTATGATTGCTAGAGGTTCATTTCCCTTAAAATTTATATATTTCAAGGAAAATGAACCCCTTAAAAATAAAATTGGATCGTAAATAAATAAAAAATAAGGTTTTCAATCTGGGTGCACCTTTATTCATATTGAATAGCAATATAGCTTTAATCCCTCCACAACCGCGGACACGCCGGCGTGTCAGTTGACAATAGATTTCTTAGAATTTTAATAAATTTCTTAGAGATTTACCTGGAGGTGAATTATATTTGCATCGAATTTATTTATAAATATACTAGCTTTCGTAAATGCTGTTCAAAAAACATAATATTTTGATACTGGAGAAGAACCAAGAAGTTCTCCTTATAGAGTTCTATATTGTGTGTTATACTAAAAAAAACAGATAATATAAGTAACTTGCATTCTTTTTATTAACATATTTACATTAATTATATTTTGTAGATATTAAATCGTTTGTCACGAACAAACTGACATTTGTCAGTTATAATAGTAATGGTACATTTTGTTCAATTAATATCAACCTTTTACTTTTGTTTAAATTTAAAAACTGAAGCTTCCCTGGAGCTTTACAATTTTCAAATTTTAAGTCTCTATATTAAAATATTAAGTTTAATTTCAGGTTTGTGGGGTCCCGCGCTCGCACTCGTGGGTCTCTCCTACACGCCTGAAGGCAACATGGTGCTAGCTGTAGTGATGTTGACCCTCAGTGTGGGCATAAATGCTGGCCAGTATACTGGATACATGGTATGTGTCATAATATAATACTTTCTTAGATTTACAAGAGTTTTTAACAATTTGCAACACTTAAAAAATATAATTGAGTGGGTACAGTACAGTGAATCGTTCATAATTCGAAAAAGCTTTTTTTGTTTTATAAGTTATAATCAATATATTCATACTTTAAATATTTGATTACGTATAAAGACAAAGATTTTTGGCTCATATTATATTCATTTATAAGGGTATCCGTGTCCATATTATGGGTACGGTCGGTCAGGGATCAAATTCTAAATTACCTACGTAATACATAATATATAGTGACTTTTCTTTCTCTTGAGTCGAAGGACCAATTTTTAGGATATAGATCGGCTTAGATAAAAGACGTTCAATATTAAAAAAGGTCAAATATGCGAATGAATGAACGCCTACTACCTTATAGATTGGAAATTTATTATTAAATTCAATTTATTCTTACGATTAAGAGGCACTTCTATCTAAATATTAAACTATTTTATCTATTACAATTCCTATTGAATTGTAAGCTTTACGTAAGTCTGTTTTTTATTATTAGATGACAGAAGATGATAATTTTTTATTCTTTCTCAAAACAAGTTTTTGCCGATGACTTCGGCTGTATTTCTATATAACTAACAAGTTACAGTTTCAACAATCATAGTCTCTCTTTTTTGAAAGAGTTGTACAACTGGAAGATGGAGCAGTATTTTTTAATAAATAACCCTAACCAACAATTTAATTATTATTAGCGCTAGTATCAACAAAAACAGTATTATAAATAAAACTATCTTTTCGGATTTTTTCGCGAATTTATTTTAATTTTTGTTTCCCGACGTTTCGAATGCTTTACAGCATCCATGGTCACGGGAGAGGTGAGAGGTGAGGTGTTACATGTCTTGAAGGTATAGTTGTTACAGACAGCCTACCCACAATTAACAAAAAATTCTGTAACAACTATATATAATACCTTAAAGACATCTCTAACACCTCAGTCTCTCCCGTGACCATGGATGCTGTAAAGCATTCGAAACGTCGGGAACCAAAAATCAAAATAAATTCGCGAAAAAATCCGAAAAGATAGTTTTATTTAAAATGTCAAGTATTCGCGTAAATCTAAGAAAGTATTATGAAAAACAGTATTACATTAAGTATGGGGAAAATATAATAATCATAATCATAACATCAACTTTATTTATAAACATAGAAATAATTGAAGTATGTGTATATCGGTATGATTTGATATATCCCTAAATGTCTTAAAAACGTCCATTCCGGTTTTAAAGGAGAAAAAAATAATAAAACAGTATCTTTTTCCAATATACTGATATAATTAAACTCAACTGTAATAAATAGAAAATATGGGGACAAAGTTTTCTAATCCTTCAAAAAAAAATTTTTCCTGACTTCGGGTCAAATTAACATTTTTTCCTTTAAAAATGTTGTTCCATATTTAGTATAGTACTTGTATACTTGTGAATATGTATTCGTAATAATTATATAAAACCTGCTTTGTATTTTTGCAGCTAATATCTATCGATCTGGCTCCAAACTTCAGCTCCTCCCTCATGGGAATATCGAACTTCTTCGCCAACATTATATCTATCATAGCGCCCATCGTCTGCGGCTTGATCATCAAAGATGAGGTAAGTTTTACTTTATTAAAAAGAATATTACAATTAATTTCATTTATCTTAATTTCGCTTACTTTTATCAGTGCCTATGATTACTCAGGGAATATTGCAAAGTGGTCCATTTTTATTTTTTTTTATTTCTAACTTACTATCTCTTATATCTATAGATAATTGTCGATACTCATCACCCAGCGTTTGTGATAAATTCAAATATGGTCAAGCAAGAACCGAATCCCCGACCACTAGTCCAAGAGATGTACAGTTTTACGTTTGCTTTTTTATATTTATAGTTGGTTATTGAACCCATTGATAATGCGGTCGCATGCAAAGACAACCCGAATCTCGCAACTTAAGGCTTTCTATTCTTCATTTGGCTAGGGTGGTGTACTTGTATTGAAAGAAAGGGAGTGTGGATAGTTTATGAGGATTTATTATTTTTTATCTATACACATTAAATATTTTTTTAATTATCTTATTGATATAGACGTTATTATCGATATAGAGGCCGAATCTATAGTTTTTGCAATTTTTGTCGGTTTGTCTGTCTGTTACCACATCACGGAAAAACCGCTGGAGGGATTTTCATGAAATTTAGTATGGTTATAGCAGGTTATCTGAGTCATCATATAGGATACTTTTTACCGCGGGAAAATATCTTATTTCTGAGAAAAAATACAAAAACCGCTTTGTAAGAATATACTAATATGTAAAACCTAAGAATTTGGTTTTTGGTAACCTGAACTCGGGAGGAGCCGCGGGCAATGCTAATTTATATATAAGTCTTGAAATTTTCATGAAAAATTTTCTTACACGTGAATCTAGTTCTAGTTTTACTAAATTTCAAAATACATACATAAGCAACAGCTCAACTCCTTGGACTAAAAGAGATATTCTAACAGTAATTCTTCTCTACCCTTCTTTTTCAGACTGATGCATCAGAGTGGCGTAAAGTATTCTTCTTAGCATCTGCTGTTTACTTCTTCACTAATCTGTTCTTTATATTATTTACGACTTCAACTCAACAGGAATGGAATGAGCCTTCAGAACCAAATGAGACTGATATTGGTAAGAATGTATTTTTTTTATATTTCTTAAGAATTTGTATTAATAAATGTTTCAATATTATTATTAAGGAGATTAAAAATTTAATGCATATTTAAGATATTTGAGTAATTCTTCTAATGGATTTTCTATAGCATACAATTGTTCATTGCTAAGCTGTTAAACATATTTACGTGTTATATATATATATATATATATATATATATATATATATATATATATATTATATATATATATATATATTACTAGCGAGAGCGAGTCACCCTCACTTCGCTTTGGTTTCGTCCCTAGGCAAAAACAAATATATCCCATGGGAACCGTATATTTTCCGGGATGATATAAAGCCTATATCCTCCCTTCCCTCTCTTCACAGACGATGTATTTCTGTTGCCGCTATAATAACAAATACTAAAAAAAGAATAAAATTACTATTTAAGGGGGCTCTCATACATGATTTTTTTCCGTTTTTATAGATAATGGTACGGAACCCTTCATGCGCGAGTCCGATTCGCACTTGGCCGGTTTTTATAATATTAGTATGCATGTAACCTAATAATTTATTTTTACACAGATGCCCTACTTTACTTAATATTTCAACTCGTTTTTTCTCAACAGAAAAGACAACTCCAGACAAAGCCAGTAGTACTGCACACACGTGAAGATGATAATATTAAAACGTTTATTTATTTTTTGTACCTGAAAAAATATACAAAGTTAAATTATCTATTTATTTTGTTTTACTTCAACCAAAAATAAAGCCTTTATTATTTTAATGTTATCCAGTCGATTTCGGTAACGGCGGCCAATCTCACTGATACGAGCTATCTGCGCGAGAAATACTATACATAATATGTAAGTATGTATGTATGTATGTATGTACGTAGACTCTAAAACATTTTGTATTCCTTACATTAATATCTAATAACAATGGGATAAGCTCTTCCCAATTTATATAATAACTTTCTAATTTCGGTCTGCTACTGAATTTTCCGTGACAGAAAGACCCCATAATTATTTTAACCTGACTCCGGACTCGAACCCAATACCTCACGATTTTGAGTCATACAAACTAGTTATCAACGAACATAGTTCTCTTCCAAATATAATTTACATATTTATAAATATAAATAAATAAAGATGTTGGAATATTAACAAACAGCATTATGTAGTTCCATTGTAAACTACGAGGCTTGTGTTATAGATACCAGATAGTTCATACACTACACATATATAACTTTAAATACATACATATTATAAATATAAACACCCATGACTGGAGAATAAACATTCGTGGTCATCACACAAATGAATGCCCTCAGCGGGACTTGAACCCACGACCGCTGGCACATCAACTAGGGTCACTACAAACTGAGCCAAACGTGTAAACTAGTATTTGTTTAAAGGTACTATGCTTAGTAATATATTCCTAAGACCCTATTATCATCCCGTGATGAAGTACACGTATCAGCTTATGGAAATACAGTATTAAGATAAAGGACCGACCTCAACCTAAGATAAACCTTACTTCTAATACAGCGCTTTTATGTGATAGGTTTCACAAAGGTCCAAGTAAGTTATTGATTTTCAATATATTATGTGTACATTTGCATATTAAAATTTTATTGAAAAAACCATTAAGTTTAATAATAATATATTGATAATAGTAAATAAATATTTTGGTACATTAACACACAGCACCATCTAGTTCCATGGTAAGCTACGAGGCTTGTGTTATGGATACCCAATTTTAATACATATAATAAATAAAAGCACCCATGACTGGAGTACAAACATTCGTGCTCATCACAAAAATGAATGTTCCCAGCGGGACTCGAATCCGCGACCGCTGGCACAGCAAGTAGGGTCACTACAAACTGAGCCACACGTGCCATCAGTCAGATTTGGTCTTATAAGTATATGATCATTTACACCTAAGTAAAATTTGTTTGATAAAATTGTACCTTATATTTTAGCCCTGTTTATAAGCTGTCTTTTCCCCGTAATAGCTGAACTTTACTGTGATGGGATGGCTAGGTAAGATCGACTAGTAGTGTTCAAGCCTGACGTTAAATCAAGCTACGCCCTTAGGGCTGTTCAAAGTGTTCATGAAACTTCCCTAACTGCAGATCGTGAGAGCAACCCCTTTGTTGAACCCCTGCATAGGAAGACAACCCTCAAAGTAGGGTGAGCTTCTATTATTAGTAGTAAGTTTAAAACAACTAATTAATCGATTTAAGCTTATTTAATAAAGGCAATGGAGCCTTATACTGATTAGATAGTTTATTACGTTAGAGCAAACAAATGGGAAATTTATAATTTATGTCCATTAAATTATTATTCTATAGTAATATTATAATCAAGATTAACAAAAAAATACAAAAAAGATGGCGTACGATATACGATTGTTTTTTTAAATCTTTTTTTTATTATATTAAGAATTTTATGTCTATATATACGAGTAAATAGGCAAAGACAAAATTGTTCAATACCTTTTTCGCCTCTGTTTGTTGACTGATTTTCTATTTTTTCTAGTTTGGTAAATATTGGCTAACTTTACTGTTATCACTAAGAAATTTTTAGAAACGCTTAGTTTTTTTTATAGATAGATAAAGACAAACAGTGACTTTTTCTTGTTTGTTTGTCATTCGATTCTTTTTAACCCTTTTCTCAAGAAAATTCAATAAAAACGTAGATTTATATATTATATTTTCCTCAAATTTTCAATAAACTATGGTATATATGATATTATATTAATATGGCATATATGATATACTAATGTAACTATGGTCGGATTCTAACCACCAGGCGAGCACTAGTTATAATCTATACATGTAATAAAATTGTAACTAAGCCGAATCTGTACATTAAGTCTCATTTCTGAGAAAAAATACAAATACTGCAATGTAAGAGTATACTAATATGTAAAATCTAAGAATTTGGTTTTTGGTCATCTGAACGCGGGCGGAGCCGCGGGAAATGCTAGTATAATGTATAAAGTTTAGGGCTTTAAACCTACATAAATGAGAATAATTTTGAATAAAAAAAAAACAACAGTTAAATTTAATAATATTTTATTTTAAAAGTATATTACATTTAGTAATAATACGTTCTTCTTAAGCATAAAACATGTAAATAAATTAAAAATAAATAATATTTACAACATCACTGATTTACAATGTCATGAAAAATATTTGGAATATTCTATTTTATTCTTACATAAACAATTTACGTATAATTTATAATTTCAAAAATAAATATATTCTAGTTTATTTTTTTTTATTTTTGTGAACTCTATTTTTTATGTCTTTTAGTTCAGAATTCTCTTCAACATATTATGTAAATTTATTAATATTACAAATAGGCTATTAAAATATAGTTATATCACATCTATATATAAGGAAACCTGCATGTCTGAAAGAAACTAGCAGGTTTTTGGAAGACATGGTAAGTCTGCCAACCCGTACTTGTACGGCCTGATCCCCCTCATATTGTGGGAAGCCATGCCCAGCAGTGGGACGTAGAAAAGGACGAAATAGAATACATCTATATGTTATATAAAAGCAGTGGTAACGGTGCTCGTTTGGGAAACCGAGTGAAGCGGGTTCAAATCCCGGGTCTCGCACCTCTAATATTTTCATGTGCGAATCATTTCTAACTTATCGTCATATTATAGATGAACTTATAACTTTATTGTCGATTTCTTACTTAAACTGTAGGTTATCTATCACAAGCTTCAAGCAGAAATGCTTGCAAAATCATGACTAGTTAATATTTGCACCAAAATATTTTCTCTTAATCTCAGAATTTGTGTTCTCCAGTTTCTTCTTTAGAGCCTTTCTTGCTGTTGGATTTCTTAACTCCATCCTCTGAAAATAAATTATTATTAATACAAATTTATTATTATTAACTAGAGAATTTATTTTGATTAACTTATGTGTCTAAACGGTTAGTATGGAATAGATAGACTATATAATAGTAAATATTATATACTATTATACATAGGCATGACGAGTTTTATATCTCTTATTGGAGAAATGATCAACTCTCCATACAAATGTCATCCTCTTTTTACCCCCTTTAGGGATGATTTTCGGGATAAAATCTATCCTATATTTTTTTCTAGGATCTCAAACTATCTTTATACAAAATTTCATCTCAATTGATTCAGGAGATTTTTAGTTCATCCATTACAAACATACAAACAAACAAAAAGAAATTTCTCTTTATAATATTAGTATAGAATATAGATAATGTTACTAATACTGTTTTGTATTACCAAGATGTATTCTGCGGTATCCTCAATATCTTCAGATATATCTCCATGGCTTCAAATAATAATTATACCGTAAGATTACTGTTTGTAGAATAATATGTTTATTTATTATAAATAAGATTTTTAATGTACTAAATTCTAGTACTTTAGCTTTAAATTTGAATTCTAATCAAACAAATTTACATGAATTCCTCGTGTCTTAGGTCTTTCTACGTAATATTATTCTACTTAACCGTTGTTAATGATATAAAGGGGTCAAAAAGTAGCTAACACATACACTCTCACATTCATAACATTACTAAAAAATATTAAAGCACTAACCAATAGAAGCTTTGGTCTTAGGCTCATTCCAATCCTGTACTTTGCCCGACATGAAGAGAATGAAGAACATGTTGCTAAGGAAGTAGAAGGCGATCGATATAAAGAACACTTTCCTCCAGTCTGAAGCACTGTGCTGGAAATTGTAAAAAAAGTAATTTAAAAAAAACCTTTACTATTCTCTAAGTTGAAATAAATGTAAGCATATTTAAAAAGAATGATCACGACCTGATAAATAGTTTCGGAGAAATGTGTGAACAAACATACACCAATAAAATTTTGTATTTTTTGTTTGGAAGTCCTAATACATATATTAATTATCATATTATGTGAATATTTTGCAGTTCCAATAATGTTACATAAATTCGTTTCGAATGAAAAACCTCCTTTTTTTGAAGTCGGTTCAAAAATATTATGTTAATAATATCTTAAAACTAGCATTGCCCGCGGCTCCGCCCGCGTTCAGATGATCAAAAACTAAATTCTTAGGTTTTACATATTAGTATACTCTTACAATGCAGTTTATGTATTTTTTCTCAGAAATGAGATATTTTCCCGCGGTAAAAAGTATCCTATATGTTGACCCGGATAACCACCTATCATCATACCAAATTTCATCAAAATCTGTCCAGTGGTTTTCTCGTGATGCGACAGACAGACAAAAATTCTAAAAACTATAGATTCGGACTCTGTATCGATAATAATGTCTATTTCAATTAGATTTTCCAAAATATATTTAATCTACAGAGTCGACTTAGTTACAATTTTATTATATGTATGGATGAAAGTAAGTACTATTTATGTATGTATATTAACGTTTATTTTTGGTATTTAATTATAATAAATTTCGTTTTCCTTTAATTATCTAAAGCATGATTAATATTCTTGTCTCGTAGCCTTGAGCCAATAAAAATCAAAGAAATTTCTTTATGATGACAGTCAAAAATGTATGTACCCGGTAATTTATTACTTTATACAAAAAATACCACGTACCATATAACGGTAACAAAAAATACACGGTCACAAAAATAATTGATATTAATTATTTGCAAATGGACATGAATAAGAAATCAAACAGATATTAAGTTAACGTTAATCTTAAACATAAATGGACCCAGTTATGCAAAAAACAGCCATGTGCGTAAAAGTACCAACAGAGTTATAAGCATTTTTCTGTCGATAGTTGCAATTGGGTTATGTTTTGTTTTTCTGGTTATTTTAAAATTGAACAATATTTATATAAGTATTGTTTATTTTTTATAATTATTTTATTTTTTATAATAAAATGCTTATAACTCTGTTGGTACTTCTACGCACATGGCTGTTTTTTGCATAACTTGGTCCAAATATTAATAATCAAATAATAAATATGCTGGGACATTAACACAGCACCATCTAGTTCCATGGTAAGCTACGAGGCTAGTGTTGTGGATACCTGATAGTTGATACACCACAATGTAACTTTAAATACGTGAGTACAAACGTTCGTGCTCATCACACAAATGAATGTCCCCAGCGGGACTCGAACCCGCGACCGCTGGCACACCAACTAAGGTCACTACAAACTACAAACTAAACCAAACGTATCATCAAAGTGTATTGTTTGATATTGACGATTCTGATATGTATGATAATGTTAACTATCCAGTGACCAGAAGGTAACTAATGAAATACTTGGATTTGATATATTTTTTTTACTTTACATTCTATATGTAACTTGTCTTCTCTATTCTACGTGACATTGGCGAAGTATATACATTGCACCCAACTGGCACTTCTAACAGCCGGTGTCAATAAAATTGAATTGAATAACATTTGGCAGAAGCACTATATTAGTTGCCAAATATAATATCTAACAACTCAAACAATTAAAGGATAGACTAATTATTTTAGCCTGAGTTGATCAAATGTATGTATGTATATGTAGAATGACTGTATGTATGTTTGCAACATGAACAGTATGCATGTATGTTTTTGTACCTCATCTTTTACGACAGCAGAAACGCTCAATGGAGCCATGATAGAGAAGATGTTGCCGCATCCGTTCGTGATGCCCATCAACGTGCTGGCGAAGTTCGGTGACAAGTCGATATGAGAAATCTGTTGATAAAATTGATTTTATTAGTATCATTTCATTAATTGAAAGGTATTTTTGTTTTGTGGCATGAATTTTGACGCAAATAAAATCTTATTACTCATCACATAAAGAAACAACTTTACACATTTTTACAATACAATTTTAAACATTTTTTTGGTTAGTATCTGATAAAATTACAGAAAGATATTTTTAGCAAAGTTGTCGTTAATACAATATATAAGGGATAAGTTTCTATGATTTTTATGTAAAAGAATATATAAATCATAGAAACTTAACTACAATTATCATTTTGAAATTCGTAAAACAGCTAAAATTATTTTAAAGTTATTATATAATTATGATAACCTACCAAAAATCCAACATAATGAGCTCCGTTGAGTCCCACAGTGAGCACCAACATGGTGACCGCTAGTTCGATATTCCCCGGCGGGATGTACGACAGCGCCAGTAGCGATGCAGCCGGACCCCAGAACGCTGTACAAAAATATAACTAGTTTTACTCACACATAATATTAAAAAGCTAAAGATTTTTTAGTTTGTTCGTGCGTTCGTTCGTTCGGTTGTTTGTTTATTTGTTTGAGTGCGCTCATCTCTAAATATATATATTTTTTTAATTTTATAGCCTATTTATCAATGAATGTTATAGGCTATCTATACTAATATTATAAAGAGGTAAAATTTGCGAGTTTGTGAGGTTGTAGGGGATAAACTCTGGATCTACTGAACCGATTTAGATGAAATTTGGTAAGAAGATAGTTTGAGAGACTGGAAAATTATCCTAATCATTAAGAAGGTAAAAATGAGGATGAAATTTGTATGGTGAATCAACCTAGTCTGATATAAACATAAATACAAAACATGAGCTTTATACAGATTAGTTGTTCTGAGCTAGGTATTATAGAACGTGGATGAATTCAAACAGTACTAATCCCTTGCGTTGAAATTCAAAGTAATAGGTACGGATTCCATATAATTTCATTATATGAACAAATAAATTGTCCCACTTATTCATCAGTGTAATTTTTTTGACAAAATTTTAAGCCGTGTAAGGCTAATCTCTAGTTATGTATATTTATAAAACAAATCTATCCCACGGGAAGAGCACATTTTTTCGGGATAAAAAGTAGCCTATATGCTATTCCAGACTATAATCTACATCTGTGCCAAATCTCATCCAGATTCGTTTAGCCGTTCTGGCGTGATTGAGTAACAAACATCCAAACATCCATCTAAACTTTCACATTAATAATATTAGAAAGATATTATTGTATCGTATAATATCATTGTCATATTTACTGTTATTTATTATTGTAAAATGGAACAAAAAATAGGCACAATTAGGTACGTGATTTTAAAACTTTTCTACAACATTTTTTTTCTGCTATGGAATGTTCGAATAACATCACTAGTGAGCTTTTTTCGGAGAATTTTGACATTTAATATTACTCCCGCGAGTGATAAGGTTTTTTTTAAACAGGTAATTTTAAATTACCGATTTTTTTACGAATATTTACGTTTATGGGTATTGGATGATTTTTATTTTTTTTTCATACATAAAGATTTTTTTTTGTAAAAACGATTCTTAATTTATCAATTAAGTATCAGACTATATAATTTTTTTCAAATACTATAAAATTCATGTTTCTTTTTGTCATTTCAGTTAATTACGTAAACTATTACAATTTAGAAAATCATACCGATGGTGTTGAAGATTTTTCTAGATGTGGCAAGAGATGTAATATTTCTATTGACTAGAAATTCGGCAGTCCAACTGAATATGAAGCTGAGGATGTACATGGCCAAATATGGTAACGCTGATAAGTAACCACTCTGTAAAAAATAAAATATATAAAAAATCTTAAGTGAAATCTAACTTATTTCTTTGATGTTTTTCTGAACTTAGTAGATAATACTTACACTTTTAATGTCGACTTTTAAAACTTTGTCCATGTACGAAGGCATCTCAGTTAGCAAAGTCCAAAATCCAAGACTCTGCCCGCTGTGTGCGAGGAGAATCGACCAGAAAGGTAAAGAAGTCCATATGCCTTTCCACGGTGTAGGCATTTTCTGATAAGAAACAGAAATAAAATTGGATTTTAGCACAAACTTATATCAAGAGATAAATTTTTAAATTAGGCTTTTTTACATAATACATTAATTTATTAATTAAATTGTTGCCTTCCTTCACATAACTTTTTAAGTCTATTCAAAACAAAAAAAATCTGTCATGAAATTATAATAGCATAGAAAACGAAAGCGTAAACATATTATGTACAATGTATAGGAATTATTTTTTATTTTCGCATTCCATAATTATATAATAATTACACTACGGGACTTAACCGACGGACAGTCTACCCGTGACCACGGCTAGTGCAACCCAGTCGAAACGTCGAGAATAAGGCATATAGCCACTAATAAATTCACGCGTTTAAGTCCCATAGTGTAATTATAATATAATATATGTAATACGTAAACTAAATTATTTTCAGTTAGTTATCCAAAGTTTAACATTCTTTAAGATTACCTTCTGCTCACTGATATCAGTAGATCCAGCATTGCATTCAATGTATTTCATTTCTTCTTTCGAGATCCACCTGCTGGCACTGGGGGTTGATGCGCCAAATATAAACCAAAGGATGGACCAGCCTATACACGTAACACCTGCTACGTAGTAAACTGAAGGCCATCCAAACTTACTTTCAGACAATACTCCAGCTACCATCATTTCTATAATGGTACCCAACTGTGCACCTGCCAAAAACCAAATGCTACTAGAACAATGTGTAATATTCCGTTTATGGAGACCACCAGCTATCACAATATGGCTCTAATTAATTATTGTCATAGTGTTCATTTTATGTTTTTAATTAATAGTAATATTATTTGAAAAAAAAAACAATATTATGACAAAAAAAAACAGACTTTTTTAAATAAACTGTTACTTGTACTTGAAGCAATACAAAAACAGCTTTTATATATTTAAGTCTATAGTAGTTCATCTCCTAGTAAATTATTGCTGCTGAGTAAAGGTTAGAATTATATTCGTATTGGAAGCAAATTAAAGTGTTTTCAAACACGGGATTCGGTTATTGTAATATTTTTCATGTGTGTGTTCTTATTCGCAAAGTAAACACCACTTGATGAGTAAAGGAAAAGAATATCAACCTAATTTTTGAAAGATATGTAAAATCCACCCGCCCGCATTTCATTAGCGTGGAAAACTGTGACCTTAATCTCTCTCGAAATGAGATAAGACGTGTCTCAGGGACCAGTATTCGATCGTTAAAACGACCAATTTATTACTATTATATTATTTACATATAATTTTATTGCCAAGTAAACTTATTACATATATTTACCAGAGTAAACAATAGTGCCCATACGACCCCTTTCAGTTGCGGGAGCCCATTGGCCAAGTAGACCATGAAGACTTGGGTACAATAGACCCTGGAATAATCCCATCAAGATTCTACATGCGCATACTGCTTGCCAGTCTCCCTGAAATTCAAATATAATTGTAAATGTTAAATAACCTAACTAGCTTTTTTCGTACTTTTTTTTTTTTAAGAAACAAATAGGAAATAAAGAAGTTCCTATGTAAATATATAAATAAATTAAAATAATTTTTAAAACAAAATATGCTAAAAATAAAGATATGAATATCATCGCGTAATAAAATAGACCGATCAAAATAACGACTTAGAAAATATGTTCTTCTACAATGGTAGAACCTAAGTTATAAACCTAAGTTCTATGATATATCAAGTTTTGCCATTTCAACACTACTATTCTACAAGACAGATTAGAATGATATATTGTCTATGCCTCTGGATCTGACAAAAAACATCGGCCGAGGCCTTCGATCAACAGTAGGATTATTGAAAGGCCGAGGCGTCAAACGTAACACTTACAAATCAAAGCTGCCCTACAATACAAATTTCACAGATCAATTTTGTTTGGCAAAAGGGTTAAGTGACGATTTAAAACGCTTGATGCGAATCTCTTTACAAATTACACAAATTCGTCTCCATCGCCCGCAGCTCCGATAAAATGTATTTTATCGTTTTTCTTTCTCTTTCAATTGATTGCTATTCTGCTAAATTAATGTCTGAATAGATTTCCCAGAGGCCACTCGTGCCGCTTATTAAGATCCTTTTTATAGTACGGGAATTTCAATAATAGCTGACTTGAAAGACAATTCTTTCTTTCTTAAATTCTTGAAGTAACTATATTACATAACAATTAAAATTAATTACATTATTATCACAAAATCTACGATAAAGTGTTTATGTGATGTTGTAGCTTTTCCAAGATGATTCGTCACCAGAAAAATGTGTCACGCCTTCTGTATGTTTTCTAAACAACAAGCTCAGCAGACACTTATAACTTTGGTTCCTTTTGAAATAGATACAGACGCTTATCAGGTATTTTAAGTAAGTCTGTTTGGTACGAGCACACCACTTCATGACAGTAAAGATTCTTACTTCTTACACATTACAATCTTCAAACATGAGCTTACCTTTTCTGCAGCAATCGGCACAAACATATTAATTATTCCAGTGACAAGCATTGAGACGAGGATCAGCAATCTTCCTCCGAATCTGCCAGCTAGCATGCCAGCAGGGATCTGCAGGACAATATAACCCCAGAAGAAAGACGAAAGAATTGTATCGCGTATCGATTGACTCCAGTCGAATACCTGAAAAAGATTGAAAAAGATTAGTATATAAATATAAATAACTGAAAAAATTATTTTGTATATCTTGATACCAAAAAGAATACTAAGTTTCCACTTTGTTTCAATTGTTTTTGTTGATTCGATACGTTTGACTTAACTTTGTAAGTATACAAAGGAACAAAGCATTTTAAACATAAAAGATTAATGTACCAGTAATCTGTAAAATTTACATCCAGATTTTTCCGATTGGAAAATAAAGCAGATTTGTTTATTTTCACAATCTTCCAAAAAACACTCTAGTAACTTTTATTAGATAGAAATTGAAATATTTCAGATTTTTATTTTATAGTATCATTATTGTTACAAATACTAGCATTGCCCGCGGCTCCGCCCGCGTTCAGATGACCAAAAACCAAATTCTTATGTTTGTAAAACTATTAGTATACTCTTACAATGCAGTTTGTATATTTTTTCTCAGAAATGAGATATTTTCCCGCGGTAAAAAGTATCCTATATGTTGACCCGGATATCCAGCAACCATCATACCAAATTTCATCAAAATCTGTCCAGTGGTTTTCTCGTGATGCGGTAACAGACAGACAGACAGACAAAAATTCTTAAAACTATAGATTCGGACTCTGTATCGATAATAATGTCTATTTCAATAAAATTTTCCAAAAAATATTTAATGTACAGTTTCGACTTAGTTGCAATTTTATTATATGTATAGATGAATAATACACTACACCTTTTAATGTACGTAACTCAATGCGAAGAAAAAGGCATTTTAGGTACAATCAAAATTCATGTAATGTAAATAATCAAATTTTAACTTCCGTAAAATCTTATTGTAAATATGCTTGTAAGTAGTATATTAGTAAAGCCTGTAGCTGGTTTTATCTACCACGTAGTCACCATTATGTGGCTTTACAGTTCTTTAACTGGACGCCATTAAAACAACGTGTATTCACATAATACTTTCTTAGATTTACGCGAATATTTGACATTTTAAATAAAACTATCTTTTCGGATTTTGTCGTCTCTCCCGTAACCATGGATGCTGTAAAGCATTCGAAACGTCGGGAAACAAAAATACAAATAAATCTGCGACAAAATCCGAAAAGATAGTTTTATTTAAAACGTGTATTCACATTTTGTCTTTAATGCTCTAAGTAAGACCGTGTAATTGGGAATGTTATTTTAAATAAAATTTATAGCGGCTTTAGATAATTCTGTCGATTATATTTTTATAATAAGTATATTATATTGGTTGTTTATAATATTTTTATTATTTTTTGATTATGTCAGTATTATCATTCACACGCGTTAGTTTTTTTTTCTAAAATTCAAAATGAGGAAGCATAAATTTTTTTAAGTTTTTTGTTTAATTTTAAAAGCGGATCTGTAGTGAACATACGACTTTTATCATTTTTTAATATTAGTACAAGAAATGTGCTCAAAATCGAAATCAAATTCATATTTTATAATAAAGAACTCATTTTTCTTAACTACAAAATAAGGAAATTATATTGAATTATTCATGTATTAAATCTGTCTTTTGGAAGAAGTAGAATACATACATACATTTAAAAATATAATTAAAGTCCCCTACCAACGATTTTATGCAAAATTTATCCAATGCCAGTGTGCCTACAACAAATGGTAGGCGTTTATTTCGTTTGGAGCCAAAAAAATCAAGTCACAACAGTTTCTTGCTTCGAAATTCAGTTCATTTCAATATCTCCGGAGCGTGATTTGGATCTCAGTCGAGATTCATTTTTGTATTTTCGTTCTTGTAATTCAATTCTTCTCTATGTAGGTATTCCGAAAATATATTTTTTTGTTCGTTTTAGAATCAATTGATATACAAATACACATGAGATTCTTTAAGAATTTCTATATATCCATTCTAATATTATATATGTGAAAGTTTGTGAAGATGGATGAATGTTTGTTACTCAATCACGCCAGAACGACTGAACGGTTCTGGATGAAATTTGACACAGAGATTATAGTCTGACATAACACAAAGGCTACTTTATAATATTAATTAATACCACGTTTCAAGTAATTTTGGTCCTAAATATATTTTTGGGTTGTGTTATAACGTGTTTTCCCGTGGGAATGAGATAATCTCCCGCGGTATAAAGTAGCTTATGTCACTGTTCAGCCCTCCAACTATTTCCACACCAAAAATCACGAACGACAATCCGTCATTCCGTCATCGAACGTGAAAGAAGGATAAACATATAAACAAACAAACAAACAAACAAACAAACAAACAAACAAACAAACAAACAAACAAACAAACAAACTTTCACATTTATAATTTATTAGTATGGAAGTATCCATACTAATATTATAAGTAACGTGAAAAATATCAAAATAATAGTATACTTACAGTAAATCCATGTTCATTCGGTTTGGTCATTCCTAATATAGCAATGCTCATACTGACTCTCGTCGAGTACGACACCACTGTGGCCAGGAACAGGAGGAATACCACCACATGGCGCATCCCTATAAGCCGCTCTGAAACAATTTTTAATATTGCTTACTACATGTTTGGTCCAGTTTGTGACATTGCTGTGCCAGCGGTCGCGGGTTCGAGTCCGCTGGGGGCATTAATTTGCGTGATGATATAATATGTTTGTACTTCAGTCATGGGTGTTTATATTTATGACATGTACATATGTATTTAAAGTTATATTTGGGTAGTGTATCAACTATCTGGTATCCATAACACAAGCCTCGTACCTTACCATGGAATTAGATGGTGCTGTGTGTTAATGTCCCACCATATTTATTATTATTTATTTATTTATATGACTTTAAAAATATGGTTTAAATGATATTTTGTATAATTAACCATTTTTGAGATGGAGCGAATGGAGTGGGTGTTGCTTAGTAGCCGTATGTATAGTACTGTGTGTATTTTGATACCAGTTATGAATGAATATAATTATTATATTCTATATATAGCTACAAATTTAGTATAAATGATAATGAAAATACGAAAAGATAGTTTTATTTAAAATGACAAATATTCGCGTGAATATAAGATAGTATTACTTCATACAAAATACGAAAAACAAAAACATATCTAACCCACGGGAACCGTACAATTTTCCAGGATAAAAAGTAACCTATGTATTATTCTGATGTATGAGCAATATTATTGCAAAGTTTCATCATAATCCATTCAGCAGTTTTTGCGTGAAAGAGTAACAAACATACATCCATACATACATTCCTACAAACTTACGCGTTTATACTATTAGTAGGATTTATTATTATTTTCTCAATTATACAGATCATACGGCTATAACTATACATACAGCTAAGCGCTGCCCACTCTTGCGTTCTATCTTAAAATTGGTTCGCATGAAATATTGTTTAGGACCAAATATGTAGACAATAAATTATTCTAAAACTTTAATAATGTCCTCAAATATATATTTTTTGCAAAGGATAAATGGATATTAAAAAAAAAACTATTTTTTGTGACCTTTGAATGCTAATGACTTGTGGACTTACAATATATAAGATGCCAAAAAAAAGTAAATACCAGGTAAAATCCTCATATGATGAAGGTGGCATTTACCCTTAATACTGATCTGTGACAGTATATAAAAACTTTACAATATAACTACCAGACTGGGTCTTTAAATCGCTAAAAAATTCTCTTTACCTATCTCAAACAGCAGTTGAAGGTGTGACCTTGGTTTGGAGATAGAGAGAATCTTTCCACTGTGCTAGTGAGGTATTAATTTTAGCATGTTTCCAAGTGTTTATTACAATACCGTCAATCATACGTGCCTTAATATTCTTTTTAAATTTAATTAAAGCAAGTAAAGATGAAAATAAAATTTAACTAAATTTAACTAAAATTTAAAAAAAAATATTTTTAAACGTATAAATATATCTTGTCATGTAATATATACATTTAAAACCTAACCTTGTTTGTTATTATAGATTGTTAACGTAATATAAAAATAAAATATTTCGCCAAATCCATAACTTCCTCTTATTAAAGTCGGTTAAAAATTACAGCATAAATTAATTAATTTTGTCAAATTAATGTCTATAGAAATTCATTAGGAATACGATCTATTGTCTTTCCGCGTGCGTCAAATACTCATTAAGTATTATATCAAAATTTGTCACGTAATATACGACCCATTATTTGCTTCCAATTAAAAGTACACATACATCTCATGGTAGTAATGTAATATCTATATGAGTGCCTCATGGTCCAGTGGCTATTACGTACGGCTACATGATACTAGAGGTCCTGGGTTCGAGGCTTTGATAGAGCTAAAACAGATAGTGAGATTTTTTGTCAGTAACCGTTGTTACTGTCCTCTTTTCTTTCCATTGCGGCCACTTTTACACAGGTGAGGGGTATTTTATCATGCACAGAAAAAAAATAGCTTTAATTTGATATATAAATGATGAATATACGCCATGAACGTATAAATGTAACAAAAACATTTTTAATGACTCGCAACCACTTTTGCGACCACTTTTACATAGGCAGACGTAGTTTATCAGATACAGAAAAAAAATTAGCTTTAATTTGATATATAAATAATGAACATACGCGATGAACGTATACACGTCCCAAAAATATGACCCGCTTACACCTGGCTGCGAAGAGGTTGCGGCCAAATGCGCAACGGCAACTATCATTTTTCAAGATCTCTACGTATAGTTCTGTGAAGTGGAGTATAATTCATTGTAATAACAAATGCATCGTGTTTATTCCAAAAAAGTCAACTATTATTTAGTTAATTAAACATACTAGCGGGCACATTTGAATAGGCACCGCGTTCAAAACATATAGTCCCTTTTATTATTGTATATAAAATAAATAAATAAATAATAAATATATTGGGACATTAACATACAGAACTATCTAGTTCCATGGTAAGCTCGTAGCTTGTGTTATGGATACCAGATAGTAGATACACTACACATATATAACTTTAAATATATACATACATGTAATAAATATCAACACCCATGACTAGAGTACATACATTCGTGCTCATCACACAAATGAATGCCCCCAGCGGGACTCGAACCCGCGACCACTGGCACAGCAAGTAGGGTCACTACAAACTGAGCCAAACGAATTTCGATTAAATACGCTATGAAGGCAGCAATCTTGCAGCGGGATCTTAGTCCAATAGTCGTTGCGTTTTACTAAAATGAGGACTGGGAAAATCTTGGCAATAATTTCTATGAAAATAATTATTTAAACAAAAAAAAAAGTTAATTGACATGTCACTTGTGACATTTAATCACTTTTCTCACGGACTTCCAACTAGATAATACTTCTATAATTTTACTACAATTGTGTTCATGGAATTACGAGAATTACAAAAGTGGACAAAAAGCTATGACCAGTGTCATAGACATAATATCTTGCGCAACAATCTATACCTACATAGAATAAAATTCTAACTGAGTCGAATCTGTACATTAAATATTTTTTGGAAAATCTCATTGAAATAGTTATTATTATCGATACAGAGGCCAAATCTACAGTTTTTAGTATTTTTGTCTGTCTGTCTATCTGGGTAAGCATCACGACAAAACCTCTGGACAGATTTTGATGATAATTGGCATGGTGGTAGCTAGTTATCCGAGTCAAATTATAGGATACTTTATATTGCGGGAAAGTATCTAATCTCTGAGAAATCTATATTAACCGAGCGGAGCGAGGGTGAGCCGCTAGTATACATATATTTTTTTAATATTAATAATAATAATAAATGAATGATAGACAATAAAAGACAATTATTTTAAAATAAATACAACCCAAATATTAAATTTTACTGCTGTGATCAAAATGTATATGTATAATATGCTTTTGGTCACAATTTGATCGTATCATACATCAAAAAGTGTGCAATATATAATTATAAAAGAAAGCTCTATTCAATGTCATCAACAACAAGAAGAGAAGAATATAAAGAATATTTTGTGATTATGGCGATATCCTAAAGCCTAAGTAATAAGGAGTAAAAAATAAACGAACAAAGAGGGTTTCCCCACAAAAAAAAACATTTTTTTTTATTTTTTACTTGTACATATATGTATGTGTAGTATTTATATACTCGTATATATAAAGCATACATTTGACAGTGAAAAATCATTTTTTTTAATTTTTTTTTTATAATTAAATACATAGTTTCTTTTTTGCTATACAAATAGTAACTCACCCTGAAACCTTTCATTTTTCTCAACCACATTGAACGTATTTTTGAAACCATATTGCTTTACATAAACCATTTTGGTGTACACTAATATATGATCATTTAATTATTTGATTACAATTTGAAATTCAAATATTTTCCATTTGGTTTGGTTTGAAAACTAAATAATGCGAATTTCAACGAAATTTGATATAGGTAATTTATGATTTCATTGATAACATCGATACTTAATAGTTAAGATAAACATATAAAATAATTTATATGCGAATACAAATTACTACCGTTCGGACGCGTCTCCGTTCGTGTTTTAATAGATATTTTTATTTATCTGTATTTTTATATATATGTATAACTTTGTAACTAAAAGGAACACTTAAAATCACTTTAAACTAATTAATTTGTTCTAGGGAGTGATTTAAAAAAAAAATATATACGTTTTTTTTCAGTTTAGGCTAGTGGAGGCAGTGATAGTTCAATGGTAACAGATTGAAGCGGGTTCAAATCCCGGGTCTCGCAACTCTGATATATTCATGTTGTGAATCATTTCCAACATAGTAACCACTTGTATTACGATGAGGGAATACATTTCCTCACGATGTTTTCTTTCATGTCTGAGAGAACTTAGCAATTTTTCGAATAGGCCACACAGAAAAGTAATACTAATTTTATAAAAATATACAAAAATCGTAATCGTAACTTGTGTTTAACTAGCGAATCACCCTCGCTCCATTCGGGTTCGTCCCTACTTAGTATTTACGTTTTTATGTTTGGTATAGATTTCTCTGAGATGAGATATTATCCCGCAGTAAAAAGTATCCTATATATTATCTATATATACCCGGACAGCCAACTATCATCATTCCACATTTTATCAAAATCAATCCAGTGGCATCGTGACGCGATCACAAACAGACAGACAGACAAAAATTCTAAAAAACTATATAGATTCGGTCTCTGTATCGATAATAATGGCTATTTCAATGAAATTTCCAAAAAAATATTAATTAATGTACAGATTAAACTCAGGAATTTTATTATATGTATGTGAGTACAATTTAAATATTGTGTTTATTCTAAAAGATAACGCTAACACCGTTTCATAATAAAAATGTAGATTACACTGATAAATAAAAAAAAATATAATTTTCAAGTGTATTCATTGTTTTACGTCAATCTTTTTGGCAGAATTTTATAAGATGTAATACCTATATACATATATATATATATATATATATATATATATATATATATATATACCTATTAGTATATATTTTTTTTAATTTCTTATACCACAAGGTCGTATAGGCA